GGTTCACCTGTGTTTATCGATTATGGAAAGGCACTTGACTGTGTGGATTGTAACAAATTATGGATAACACTGCACAAATATGGAAATTTCAGGACACTTCATTTTGCTCACGCAAGACATATACAGAGAGCAAGAGACAGTCATTCAAGCACAGTAAGGGATACTCAAACCAAAACCAAATTCGCTGCCTTCAACTTGATGCTGATTCATACAGCTGGGGCTTCCTACTCCCATAAAGAGTTACAGTGTCAGAAACTCACAAAGGTACTTCTACCTGTCCTATAGCATCACTGCGAGACAACGACGGGATAGACCTGGCTTCAAATCAGGAAATGTATGCCAGGGTTGTATTGTTCCACCATAGTGATTTAATCTGTATGCAAAGCAAATAATCTGAGACATTGAACTCCATGGAGAAGAAGGGGGCATCAGGATAGGAGGGCGACTCTTTAACAACCTGTGATATGCAGATGAAACAAACTTGCAGGCCAAAAGCAAAGAAGCCCTGAAGCCCTTGCTGTTGAAGAGTAAAGACTACAGCCTTCGGGATGGGTGACACCTCATTGCAAAGATAACCGCAATCCTCACAACGGGGCTTACAATCAACAGCAAGGTATTGATGACGTAATCAAGGACTTCCTTTTGCTTGTATCCACAGTTAGTGCCCATGGAAGAAGCAGTGAGGAAGTCAACTGACATATAATATTGGACAGCTATGCCACTGTTAAAGCACAGCTATCACTCTCGAGACCAAGGTGTGTCTGATCCAACCCATGGTCTCTTCAGTCTCCTCATGTGCTTGTGAAAGCTGGCCAATTAGGAGGAGGACAAAAGAAGACTGGGCGCTTTGAATTACGGTACCGGTGAAGAATATTAAATATACTATGGACTGCTGGAGTGCTCATTAGAGACAAGGATGGCAAGATGTCGTCTTACATACTGTGTTAGTCTGGGTATTTTAGAGAAACAAATCCACAGAAACCCATATAAATAAGAGAGAGTTTTATATAAAGGTTAAGTGCACATCAAGAAAACATCCCAACCCAGGGCTGCCCAAGCCCACAAGTCCAACATTAGCCCATATGTCTGCCACCAATCCACCAAGTCCTCCTCCATCTCACAAATGCACATAATGATGTCGACTGCAGGAGGAAAGCAGAGTCAGTGAGTGTGTAAGCATCTCAGGGCTGACAGGGGTCTCCACACGGCTGTTCCAGCACCCAGGGCTGCATTGGCGTAGGTCCATGCGGCTTTTCCTTGGGGATGTCTTGCAGGAAGTGAGCCTTGCCAGCTGAAGCAGGGAACTGGCTAAGGCAGCTGCACCCTGGTCCAACCATCAGAAAGCAAGAGACCCGAGAACTTGAAAGGCGAGGCTCACCGAGCCATTTATCCCTCCACCCTTCAATTAACCCCCACGTGTGTTTATCGGCCAGATTGGCACAATAAACTTTATCCCACATATGTTGGACATATTGCCAGGAAAGACAAGTCCCTGGAGAAGGACATGATGTTTGATAAGGTGGAAGGACAGTGAAAAAGAGGAAGGCTCAACGAGATGGATTGCTACAGTGACTGCAACAGTGGACCGAGGCAAAGGAACAATGGGAGGGTGGCACTGGATGGGGCACTGTTTCACTCTATTTTGCATAGCGTCACTGTGGGACAGAGCCGACTCAATGGCACCTTACAACAACCTGGACTGCCAGAGCAAACAAGTCTGTGTTGGAGAAAACACAGGCAGAATGTTCCTTAGAAGGGAGGGTGGCAGGACTTTGTCTCACATGCCTTGAACTGGATATCAGGAGGTCCAGTCCCTGGAGAAGGACATCACCTGGTAAAGGAGAGGGTCACCAAAAAAAGAGGAAGAGGCTCAGCCAGATGAATTGATACTGTTGCTATAGCAAGGTGTGGACCATGCAGGATCAAGACATGTTCCGTGCTGTTGTACATGGTGTGACCAGGAGTTGGAACCGATGGCATGACAGCCAAGAGCAACAAAAACAGACAGGAAACATTGGCTTGAATATGTCCCAGGTTTTTCTCCCACTTCAGTTTTTTTGGGTTTTTCTTATGTGGATATTCCATCTTTGGTATGTTTATTCAACTTAATCAGAAGGGGGAAAAAGAGAATAACTAGGTCATCCAAAAGGAAATACACGGAGTATGATATTTCAAAGCTACTTATGACGCTTTGAACAAATCGAGTCACACATGTCTGGATAAAAAATTTCCGGCCAATGTGAAATCTAAACGTTAACAGGACAAGGCTGAGGGAAACTAGAACTTGAGATCCAGACCCACCTCTGTGGGTAGGAGGTGTAGGCTGCTCAGAGAACCCAAGTGTTGGGCAGGTATTCAAGAAGAGAACAGCACTGAGTCTGGAGAGAGTCATAGTTCAAATCAAGTGTGAAGGCCAAGAAAGCTCACCAAGAAGTACAAAGATGGTTCCTGACAAGTTGGGCTAAGACTCCGGTGAGAGGAAGGTCACACGGGCCTGACCAGGAAGATGACTGGATCATGGGGCTGGGCCTTGGGCATCGACTGGGGCCAGGACTTCTACCCTGCCTCAACATAGGGAAGATAAAGGATCTAAAGAACCAAATGTCAATTGTTCCCTGGAAGGCTGGATGAATGTATAGCAGCTAAATCACTGAACTCAACCCTAAGAATGTGTGTGGGGTGGGTGCAAGAGCAGGCGGTGTTTGTTCTGTTGTCGACAGGGTCCTTGTGAGTCGACAGGGTCCTTGTGAGTCGGAACGGACGACAGGGTCCTTGTCAAACGGAACGGACTCAATGGCCCCTGACCAAAACAGCAGCAGACCTACATACACAATCCCATGTGGGAATGAGTTTCCTTTATTATTTTTATGTGATTGTGGTAGTCACCTAATCTGGGGTCCATTTAAGGATTAAGAATGTAGGGGTGGAATCTAGGCTGTCA